GTGTGTGTGTGTGTGTGTGTGTGTGTGTGGAAATGGCCGTGGGAGGACTCGACTTCCTCATGGTTGGTTTAAATGGACGAGCAGGAAGCGTAGGCGACGTGTCTGTTCGTTGCGCAGGAAGACGTCAGAAAAACGACCAAATAAAGAGAAATAATAAGATTTAAATGTATTTCCTCGGTCGGTCGTGAAGATGACATCATCACAGTACTTCCTCAGCTGCTCAGGTGGGGTTTGGTTCTGGTTTGATGTGGGGGAACGTGGGTTGCAATGGGTGCCGGTGTAAACCACAGACTGATTGTTATCCTGCTTCAAAGGGAGCAGCAGAGTCGCTATATTTCCACCAGGTGATAATTCACTTAAAGCAGTGATGAAATTATAAACGGAACAGATAATTTCTAAAATACAGCTTTAGTTAAATGGTTGAAGCCTGTTTCCGATTTCCTAACCGTCGTCTTGTTTTGTTGTTTCCGTCCTCGCTCCAACAGTCCTGTTGAAGTTTCGTACAGACAAAGGTCGTGACCCCGACCCCGAGTCCCTCGCAGAAGACAGTCAGCTCCTGAGACAGATCCGGGACGACGTCCTGGAGGCGCTGGCTCTGAGCAGCGACCTCCTCAACGACGACTTCATCAGGTGACCTTTGTTTTTATAACGAACCTGGGAAACACAGGGGATCTGCTGCACCTGAAGTAATTCATTAAAAAAAACACATCTAATAATAAATAAATGTTCAAATCTATGGTTTGGAGTGTTTTCAGTTTATGATGGATTAATAAAATTATAACAACATACATCCACAGGTGACTGAGTGACAAACTTCACTACTCGACCACTCAAATGTGAGGGAAAAAAAAGACAAATTCTTAGCAGGGTTATTATATTTAAATAAAACTAACTTAGATAACAAAAACTGAAATTGGAAAAAAAACACTTTAGTAAACTGAAATAAATAAAAACTAATAAAATGAAAAAACAATAACAAACTGAAACTGACTTGATAGAATATTCTTAGTTTTAATGTTTGTCAATGTGTTTTGAGTCATGTGAACTGATTAAACTAATTTTTTTCTTCAAATTAGGCAGTTTCACAATAGCAGCTTACAGTGCTTGTTTTCATTCTGCCGCAGCTGCTCAGCATCATCTGATAAATGATGATGACAAAAGTTGGGAGAAAGTAGCACAATCCAATTTGGGTTTTCTTTGAATATGATGATGAGAAAATTAAAAGCAAGCGTCTTGTAGTGGAGACGGGTGATAAAATAGGTGGAATACTTCTCAAGGGACTAACTGTGAGTAACTTAAAGTGTCTGTGACATCAAATATTTCTAATGTATTTTTGGAAAGACAACACTGATAACATTTTGCAAAAAGAATTCCACGCTGCTGAGATGCGCAGTTGTTGAGATATTTTCCAGGTGAAGAAACAGGAAGTGATGTCAAAGGAAATACTGAATGTGAACATAGCATGTAGCATGTAGCATGTCCAACAACTGTAGAGAAGAATCAGGTGATTTGTTTAGATTGATTTGAGTCACCGTCAGAGAGATGAAGAGTCAGTTTGATTAATATTTCAATAAATAAAAGACCAGGGAGTTCCTTTTCTTAAAGAGTTCCCCTTTGATGTCACTTCCTGTTACACTTTGGCTGAGCCAAGTTCAAAGAAAATATGGCAGCTATGTAAAAAAAATAAAAAAAAGTTTCTTAAATATAAAGATGTTTTCTTTGACTTCTTGTATCTGAAGGATATTCATGTCACAAGCACTTTATCAAGCTAGTTTCTCTCAGTAGCTCCTGTGAAAACCAAGCCCCAGCCCAGTCAGGTAAGAAGTCACCTTCCTAAAACAATCGCCCGGGTCCTTTGCTGGCAAAATTGAATTATGGGATTATTTTAGGAAGGTGTTGCTGTAACGGACTGCTTTGACTGGCAATCAAAAAGCTGCTGGTTAGTGACCTCACAGGAACACGTTAAGCTGGAGGATGCATTGGCAAATATGTTTATTCAAACAACAAAAAGAAAAACTATACTAGAACTAATAAAGAACTAAACTAAACTAAAACTAAGCATTAAAAAAGCAATAATAACGAATAAAAAATCCACTCTAAAAACTATTTAAAACTAACTGAACTAAAAGAAAAAATGTCACAACTAAATGAAACTAAACTAAAATGACAAATCCAAAACTATTATAACCTTCATTTTTAATTCTAGTTTCTATGAATTCTGAGTATTTTTGACCGTTTTAACTTGTTTTTGTGTCCACAGCTTCTATTCTTGGCCCTGCACATTATTTTGTTGCCCACCTCTGCAGCCAAAATAGAAAATCAACAGATTTAGATGCTCGTTTAACGTGCAGTAAATTCTCTGAAACTACAAACATTTGGTTTCCAGTAGCCGAAGCTAAAAGTTAACAGAGCAAATCTCAAAGTTTTCACATTTTCACCGTCAATTTTGCAAGATCTCCTCTGTTAACTCAGACAGGTGACTTCAAACTAAGGATGGGTAAAAATATAATTGCTGTATTTGTTGCTGCCTCTTGGAAAGGACTTCCTTAAAAAATAGGTTTTTAATCTTAATGGGTGTTTTTAATCCAGATAAAATAAAGGTTAAATAAAATAAAAATATACATTATTATTAATCTATTTTTTTCAAATTTAATGCAGTTTCAGATAATCCTCTGAATTGATTCGATCCTCTGGTCACTTTCTCTTGTGTTTATGTTTTAATTTAGATATTTTATTTCTCCAAAATGTTTCCGTTTATACAGACAGGAAAATAAATATCCAGCATGGAGCTGTAAATGTTTAGAAAAGAACATTTAAAGAGAATTCTCCAGAGGTTTAAGCCTGAAATCTAAAGTTTGTATTTATGTTAAAGTCTTTGTTTTTCTTGGTTTATCCTCAGCTACTGCTTCTCAGAGCTCTCTCCGGTCTGCGCCGTCGTTGGAGGAGTTCTTGGACAGGAAGTTGTGAAGGTGAGCTCAGCAACATCAGCTTCTGATCAGATTTTAGCTCCAGGTCTGGGAAAGTGACGGAGTCGTCTACGTTTCTGTCCAGTAGATGTGGCGGCCATTTTGAACCGGGTTGACTCTAAAACCTAAGGTTTTTTTTCCTCCAACTTTGAATGTTGAACTTATTATAAACTTTAGATCTTGAAGCTTCATGAATCAAACTTTATAAAGTAAAAAGTTTCTTGAGGCTGAAATAATCTGAGAAGTTCACGTCGAGGTGAAAACATCTGGAGTTCAGAGCCCACCTGCAGATGTGTCGGTGCTGATGAAACTCACTGCAACAAATCATAAATCCAGTTCATCACACACACACACACAGGACTGGTTTGTATATCCCCGTGGGGACTGTGCATTGACTTCCATTCATTTTTTGAAATTTTAAATCCTAACCCTGACCATTTACCCTAAAACTAACATCACAGGTACCAACCTGACCCTAAAACTAACCTCACAGGTACCAACCT